CGAATTGGGCAGTAGGCCGGCCTAAGACAACGATTTTTAATAATTAATTACTCGTTAACTATTACGAAAATTGCAAAATGGTACAGGACTTTTCCATTCATCTCGATCCGTTCTACCTTCTCAAAAATTTTGTCGGATATGGAAAGACTCACCCTGTATAATGAAATATATATTTTTCCGTGGGGGGGGGGGGTCTAACCTGTAATTGGTTAATTTTTTACGGCTTAAAGCTTGCAGCGTACTTAAAGGCGAGATTGTGGACCAACACTTGTGTCGGATCGAGACGAAAAGTTTCGCAACTGTTCCGCCCGGACGTTATTTTCGTTGAACACGTTTCTGAAAAATGTCGCGGTCGCTAATCGCGAAATCTCAAACATCGCGAGAACCGATGGCGAAAGTTTAAATCCGCTCAAGTTTAGGCAGAGGGTGGCCAAAACTACCGCCCGTTATCGCAACGTCCGCTGAAACTACATCTGTTATCGAAACGCTGTATACATTATATACCGACATTGAATCGACCGTTCGTGTTCTTACCTATCAGCAGCGCCAGAACTTTGCACTCGTACTTGTGATACGTCGCCATCGCGACGTCCCTGCAGTCTCGTCCGCAAAAGGCAACGCAGCTGCAGCTCGGACACCCGACCGGCGCCCTCAGTCTAAAAATTTCCCGGATATTCGTAAATCGATCGAAAGGAAAACGGGGTTAGTCCGAGGAGGAAGGCGAATTATGCAAATTGATGAATAAAAGCCGAAGGGGAAACTATCGCCGCGCGGGCGGGCAAGATTTCAATCCAGGTAAATTTCTCCTTGGATCGATCCACGCAATCTCGAGTAATACGTTCTAAATGCGACCAACGATTTAACGAATCCACGTCGCTCCGTAGAAGCGTCGTCGAGATCATTCGACAGGATAATTTCGAAAGATAAATAAAATTTCTACAAGACGACAAATTTACGAGAGAGAGAGAGATAAATAAAACGCCTGGAAAATCAATTCCCGATGCCTTTAAAGCCAGATCCAGACTACGTGCGGCGCCGCTCGCGCACACCGAGGGCAGGCCCATTCGCTCGTGTGCGTTCGCGCTTGCAAATCCGGTCTAGATCCGGCTTTGCGGGTGTCGCCTTTAAACATGCGTGCCGTTTTGAAATTTTTCGCGGCTCGATCGGCGCGGGCGGCTTTTATCTTGGCGTAATAAACGAGTTTTCCCCGTCCGCGTACGTCGTTGGTCGCGCGCGCCTCGTGCCCGGGCGTCGCTCGGGTTAATGAAATCCATTTTCTCTCTTTCGCCGTCGCGGGTTTATCCGTAAAAAGCTGCGGATAACGGGGCGACGGTGGGGCCCCGCCGCCACCGCCGCCGTACACGTATAGACAAAGCAGAAGCTACACACGGTGGATTACGCACCGCCTAAGGCGCGTCCATTAAATCCGGGCGGGAAAGGGAGGGGTGGGGGACTCGGGTGAGAGAACCCGACGGCAATTTTCTCCTCACCTCGCGTAACAATGCTGACAATGGGTGCCGTAGAACTCGGGCAGGAGACAGCCCGCCAGCGGCGGCTCGGCCAGCAGAATATCACCCGGATGTATTTCCGCGGTTGCGACGGCGTGTTTACCCGCCGTCGTGGTCTCGCGGATTTCCAGGGCGCCGGACGACCAACGGAGCTCGGAATTAACGGCGCCGTTTAACGGCGTGCCGCCACCGCCGTTGCCTGCGAGCACGCAACACACAGAGCGCGGGGTGCGCTTTCTTAAAGCGAGTCTCGCCCCGGCGCGCGTTAAAGGGAGGGATACGCGGGATTCCACGCCGACTGCGTCGACGAAAATTACGCGGCGGGCGCAAACGATACTTTAAACGCTCTTTAATAAACGCGGAACGCCCGCGAAACCGGACGGCGGGGGCAGGGGGGAGGGAGGGGTTGAGCGGGGCGAGTCTCGCGAATACGTCGAGGATATATAAATATAACATAATACGCCACGGTGTATTTTCAGCTTTTCGTCCAACGCCGCGCGCGATGCTCCGCGAGCGCGGTATCGAAAATCCGGGAGGAGAAGCGCGGCTTCGTTTTCTCTCTCCCCCCCCGTCCCCCTCCTCTTTTTTCCGCCACGGATTTTCGATACGAGGGCAAAACGAGAAAATAACCCTTCTCCAGTTCGCTCTTTCGCCTCCGAGCGTTTCGGATATCGTTCGGTAGCGCCTCGTGTGTGCGTGTGTGTGTATGTGTATATGTGTGTGTGAGCGCGCGCTGTGATATTCCTCTCCGCGCACTCTCTGTGCGCATACACGCGCGTTATCTCGAGGATACTCGACGAGATAGGCGTGGAGCGCGCGGCGCTCTTTGTCCCGCGCCTCCGCGTCGATTTCCATCGGCGAGGGTGGGTGTCGGCGGCGCGAAAAGTTCCGGCCACGCTCTGCCGTTCATGAATGAACGGCCGCGGCAGGGTGAGGGGGGGGGGGGGGTAGGCCGTGTACTACGGCCTACTACGGGCCGTACGCGCGCCGGCTGACGCGACGGTTCATCGCGACTGAGGCACGTATGCGATAAGGAAGGACGAGAGAAGAAGAGAGAGAGAGAGAGAAAGAGAGGTGGAGAGGGGGGGAGAAAAAGGAGAGAGAGGAGGAAAGGGCGGAGAAGTCGCGCGACTGCGCGGCGATCTTGCCTCGGCCTTGGTCCCCCGCGATCGAGATCGCGAGCCTTGCCGAGATCTCGGAGACGTTCGCGTCGACGAGCTGGGACCCTCGCGCTCCCACCGAGACGAACGCGAGATACCGATTGAACGCAACCGAACTTGACAATGGGACGGATCCGCGAGACGTCGGAATTGTTTAATCAGTTTTGCCGTGATTTCTGTTTAAAATATAAATCCAATCGTTTGTAAAACAAATGAGGTCGAAGATCCAATTCTTCGGCAGCGAACGAAGCAACAAAGGTTGAGGAATTATTCGACGTGACTGGCGAAAATGTTTCTTGATTAAAAACACGCAACCGTCGATCGTTTATCTCGAATGTATTATACAAGCGATGCTTATTAAGGTCTACATATTTAGGATTAAATTTAAGAAAGGGATACGTTTTCAGTGATTCCGCTCGGGCCGTTCCGTAGGATCGTCGTTGGACGCTCGGATTCACCGGAATCAATCGCGATAAATCGGAATTCCGCTCGGCGCCGCGCGACGGCGTCTCCGATAATGGAGCTTAATGAAGCGGCGCCGTCTTCGTTTTACTGTTAATCCGATTTACACATGGCGGAAATTCCGCCATGATTTAAGACACCCGCAAGGGATCTCCGGGTTAACGGGAATGTGTAAACAAGCCCGTAATCCCGGCGCGAAACGCCATTTCCGGTTATCCCGGCCACGCCGCTCGCGTGTGGCATGCTGCCCACCGAGGGCGTTGTAATGAATGGAAGAAATTGCTACGGTCCGAAGGGGGATGTGTACACACGACGAGCCGATTAATCATGGTTCGTCGGGAAGCGACGATATCCGCGATATCCGTGCGAGGCTCCAACTTCGCTCTCGGTGAGTGCGTTTTAACTTTTAACCCCTCGCCGTAGATAAAGTTAAGAAAATTTACAACCCGAATCGGCGCGCAGCTTAAAGTCGTAAAACAGACGCGAAGGTATCACCTTTATACTGTTATTGCGACAAATATTACCACGTGCCTCAGTGGTCAAATTGGTGAGACGCCCGCCAAGAGAGTACACAGTTGAAAAATTTGTGTTAAATTTAACAGATATCACATGTCCCAAACGGTCCACACAAATTTTTGTGTTAATTTAACATAATATGGATATGTTAAAGGATCACACTAATAGTCTGTTAATATTTTAACACAAGATAAATGCAAATCTCAAAATCATTTAACATAAATTTTGTGTAAACTTAACATATTTTTAATGACAAAACGAATTTAAAAAAATGTAATTTTTACATTTCATAATAAATAGGAATGTATCTTCGGGGAGGTAGGCACTAACAATAAGACACGCCACTTATTTTTCGGCGAGAAAAGTAACGGGCTAGGATTTGAACCTAGGACCTTCAGCTTGCCAGGCGAGTGCTCTTCCAACTGATCTATCCAGGTCCAGATGTAATAAGCCAAATGGTCCGAGATCACTCTCTTATGTTATATAGAATAAAATCAAATCATTTCGTTCTGTAAATTTTAACAGATAAATCTTGTTACTAATAATATAGAACATATGTATTGTGTAAGATTACAAAATAAGTACACATTGTGCTGTTTTAACATTTCTTTTCAGTTATTTTAATAATTTTACATTTAAGGTCAATTAACATAAGAGCAATCTGTTAAATTAACACATGAATGTGTTAACCATTTAACACAAAAATTTTAACGGGCATTTCTTTTAACAAGAAAACACAAATTTTCCAACTGTGTAGGCAAGTCCACACCCACCGACAAAATTTCCGGATCCAATGCTATTACACTTGAATCTATCATAAAGTAGGATCGACATATCGCCAATCATATTTATTATAGAGAAAGGAATATTTTGATCTTAAATGAGAAATTCTCAAATCTAGAATAAAACGATAGTATCGTCTTTTGTCGAGTATCGCGATGTCAACTTCGCGCGTTGCAAGGTGGGGGGAAAATTTATTCTAAACGCAAGAATACATAAAGTTACTCTTGTCTCAATACAGTAAGTCAATCTTTTTTAATTCGATAGAGGGGGGATAAGAATTACCGATTAGCAAAAGCTAAGCGAATTCAACGATGGCGCAAGTGATTTCCATTTTGTACCAATTATCACGGCGATGTATCCTCGCGCAATAGCGTAATCCACGTCGGTCGGACATTAATTCCAGAGAGGGCAATAAGCAGCGTCTCCTACCGTATTCATTTCGATATTATAAAAACATTATCCGGTTACGCTTTCCCTTATATTTTCGCTCGTCATTTGCGTCCGCGGACATTTCATCTTGTCACGCGGCGTCACGGGCGTCACGGAATAATCACCGGCGTGCGCGCGAGTCACATCCGCTCGAATTTCATCCCGCGCGACTTCGGATATTTTCCCCGTTTGTATAGTTAACGAAACGTCGCGCCCGTCGTCGGTCGAAAAAAAAAAATATGTCGGGGGGGAATAATGCCCGCGGATGGGCACGGAGCGCGCGTTAAAATTGCAGGATCCATTTACTAATTTACGGATCCGGCGGGCCGATTACCGTGAAGAACGTACGGCGCGCGATGAATGGAGAAAATATTCATTCGCGCGCGAGCGCCAAATTTACACGTGGATAACATGAATTTATATTGACTTGTATCCACGGAGGATCCCCGGTCTGCGAAATCTCGGAATGACCCGCTCCGAGATTCTCCATACGGTCATTATCCTTTCATTATTCCCGAACGAAGGTCCGACAGACGACTCCATTCGTCCACTTTGCGGGGTCGCTGCAATCAACAGTGAAAAAAAAAACAATGCGTCCCGCGTGTCCGGGATATTTTATTAAATTTCCTTCTCGAAAGGTATTTCGCTCTCCTCCCGTCGAGCTTGCCTTGTTTTCACTCATTGAGAACGCGCAAAAACTTTCGGATTAAAGCCGAAGTTTTCGACCGCGCGTTCTCTGTTAGCGAATTCTGAAAAATTAACGCCCCAGGCCGGCGTTATTCTGGATGATGAAAAAGTCATGTTGCCGATGTTGAAGATTAATCGAAGGTAGCGGCGCTACGATAAAGAGGATGCGATGAGTTGTAATAAGCGAGCCATAAATAACAAATATTATTTCTCTGCGAGAGCGAGGGGGATGCTCAATTATTAACGGAAGGTAAATTACTGGCGGAAGCGGAATCGTCTGGAAAAAGAGCACTCGAAAAAGAAACGGTTAATTTTCTTATAAATAAAATTTGTCGTGGCGATAGCTATTTACGAGGCCGACGTATCGCGTGTTGCGCAATCGCGTTCGCGTAGCGCCGGAATTTTAAGAAATTAAACGAGTCCATTTGCGGCAATGACGCTGATACTTTGAACGCTCTTCTAATTTGATTGGGCCGTAGTCAGGCTCGTGAGTGGTTACAGACCGAGGGCGGGAGGGGGTGGGGGAAGCTGAAGTAAATGAAGTTTAGCTACGAACGGCCGCACCTGCAGCGGCAACCCTCGAATCGCGCGTTTCCGGCTTAAGCCACGAGCCCTCGAGGGGCGCTTTGCAGTGCTAGAATTCGACGTTCGAAAACAAAGAAGCGCTTGTCTCTGTTTGAGCGCGCGAAACGGTCCGGGCTGGCTCAGCCGAGGGATGCTCTTAACGATCAATTAGTCGGGCGTAGCCTCGGCTCGCATTCAGGCTTTAGACAAGCAGGAAATAATGCCTTTATATTATCGGAACGAGTCACGTCTCGGGAGAGTTAATTTTTCTCCGCAGTCGCCCGAAACAGGAGCAGTCGCCGCGGGCTTTATTAGAATACAAAGTCCGCCTATTGAATCCGAATCGAGACTCCGCCGATGGAAATCGCCGATTAAGCTCCGTTAATTCGGGCTTAAGAATTTCAACACATTTCCGACATTCAATTTTAAATGCGTCTAATCCCGCGGCCGTTCCGGAGACGCCTCCCGCCCGCGGAAGAATCGACGTCGCGAGATTCAGGTATTCCGCCATTAAAATTAAGAGCGCCGCGCCGAGGGGGGTATCCCTATGCGCCGTGTACGCGTAGCGAATAAGGACGGACTGCGAGAGAATTTATTA